TGAAATAAAGTATGTGTAGCAGTTACATTCTTCTTTGGCTATTAACCATTGGATGCAAAACGATTCTGAAAGGAATAACCTAACATTGGTGCACTAGCCAATCGTTTGTCAATTCAACATCACAAACGACACGAATTCGGATCATTAAGAACAATGGGAATGCAACAGAACGATTACATGCAACAACAACATCAATTTTTACATCAGTGGTTTAAGAATGAAAGAGAATATGAAAATAAAAGAATTTTGACGATAAATAATATGGATGAATTACAGTATTTGTGTGTTAAACCAGATGATATAATCATTTTACAAGCACAAAATGGCAAACCAATAAAAGTTATTGCTAATAATAAACAAACAGACGATCTGCAAACAAAACAGCAACACCATCAATTTCATCCACAACATCATCAAACATCATATGATCAATATCCATTGACATCATCCGTTAATCATGAATTATTATCATCAACACTCGAAAATGAACAACTATCAATGTGGCCTCCCGGTGACGAACAATGGTATAAACACGAAATGAAACAACAACGTGAAATTTTTCTGAAAGCCACATCGACAAGATTAGAAGCTGAGGACGATAAAACATCGCAGGATATTACCCAATCACAAATGGAACTGATGATGATGAGACAACAAGTTCTATTTAAACAACAACAACAGCGTCTACAATTGGAGCATTTAGAACTAAAACATCGTCTTGCACTAGTTGAATTAACATTAGAACGTCAACAACAGCAATCATCGGCCGTTATCCAACAAACCATCATTATTATTGATAAATTGAATGAAGTGGTATATAAACAAAAAGACTCTATTATAGATATTGATCAAAAACCAGGTATTATTCTAAGACCACAAGCGGTTCATCAATCAATAACAATATCTGAGTCATCAGATCACTCAGTGGCATATCCCTGTCCATCATTATTGACAAAATCAGGAACTATTGGTGAAAAATTATTTGAACACCAACATATTAAACGGAAAATGAAAG